GTTGCCTTCTAACAGTGGCATTTCAGATATTGGTTGATTCTGTTCCAACTTCAAAACTCTCTGCTACTTCAGTGACCACTGTTAGCAGTTTAATCAAGTGCATAGTTGAGCGGATCCAAGCCGTAGTATGCAGTGGCGGCACTTAGGTGCCGTCGTGCCCTCAAATAGTAAGCAAATTGATGACTGAAAATTTACATGTTGATATTAATTTGTTCCAGGTTTAATTAACGTATTCACTTTTAGTATCGAATCTAAAGAAGTTATATAGATAGAAACTATTTCAGTCATTAATTTTGAGTTTTCTTGTACTACATGCAGATGTAACAGATAGAGAAAGATGATAGACAAATAAGGAAGGTGGTCCCAACTTTATAGTGTTCGGAAGAAGGGAAACAAGTAAATTAACGCATCTTAGAGAACCCTATCTTCTTTTGCGCAGCTAGTGACTGATGGGCATTGACTTCCCCAAATGAAAGTAGTTCCGTATGATTTATAGATGTAATAAATAAGTCTGGATTTCTCTTTATCTGTCTTAATTTTCGGGCAGAACTTTTATTGTTGTGCTATAAACTTGGATGGTTTTGTTAAGTTTTTTCCATTGTTTGACTTCTAAACTTTCTTCATGTTCCTTATCTCCATTTGATGTGTTGGGAAGAACTTACCTAAACCTATACTGTTTGTATAACTTTTTCCTGTTAAAAGACTAATTATGTATGCCTTTACTGTGTTTAAGTTCAAACCCAAAACTATTTGGTATAATTGTTCCTTGGGGTTATGGTTTCGTGCAGAAACTCTTTTGAACTATTTTGACTATATTTGCTTATGTAGGTTATATATGGGATCAGTCTTAATGCTCAAGTGATTTTATTCACTGTTTGAAAAGCCTTAAATTGCCATTTTTTTGTTAGGAGCTAATGGTTGTCATAATTCAATTCGTTAATAGTTATTTAGTAATTATCTTGTTTAGAAAATCTTCTTCCGTTTTCAAGAAAACTTATGTACTCATCATATTTATAAATTATTTTTATTTTAAATTTTGAAGTTTTAAATAATATTTATTTAAAAATTACTTTTAAATATATTCACTTTAACAATTTCTTTTATCTTAAAGTATAATCAAAACAAATTTTACCGTAAAATATTAGTACTAGTCTCTCAACAAAATAAATTTAATTAAGTTATACCGTAAAGTATAAATTTAAATAAATTAATCTCTTTAAAAAATAATTTTAATTCTATAATTTTAAATAAAATAGAAATTTATAAAATAAAATTTAATATAATTATTTAGCTGTTAGTATTTTTCATACCAATCACTCTATTTTACTCACTTGATTTTTGAAAAATCAACTAAATCACTAAGAATGGATTAGAGAGATTTACTCATAACATCGTAATACTTTTAACACTTTATTAATATAAATAGTGAATACTTAAAATATCTATATTTAGCAAAAAATATTATTGGAGGTATCTATATTGTATTTGTTGTGAATTTTACTCACAATCTTCTTTTCATATAGATCCCACGCAATTTAACAAATTGGGTGATGTTTTCTTATATTACAAAATTTCAATGGTACCTCTTTCATTCCAATGTAACAAAATATATAAATCGACCAAGTAAGACAACAATAAGAATACAATTGAATGAACTTGTTTTCTTTTCATTTTTTTCAAATTAAGACTATTTAGGACTTTTTTTTAATTATCATGCAGAACTCCAATGGCTTATAACTCCGACAGAGTATTTGTATAATATTTTTATTTAAATTCTTACGCTGCAAACAAGCAAAGAAGATTAAGGATGAGATGGTTGATAGCATTGAGAAACAGAGAGGAAAAATAGTTTAAAAAGTGATATTTAAGTAAATAGTGTGGGATAATATAGTTGATTGTAATGTGAAAGTATATCATTTAAAACAAAAGATACACTGTTAAGGAAACAGATCTATTGTTACAGATGAGAAGATTTTGAAAGTACTTATCTTTTTGGAAACCAATTATCTTGCGAACCGCATGTAGATATAGTAAATTAAACTTTTTGTTTCACATTTCTCAAAAATATCTTTTATATACAGAAAGCAAATTTATCTAATATTTAAAAAGATTTAATATTTATATTAGTAAATGTACTCCATGGCCCAATCAGTTAAAAATATTTAATAGATTGATTGGTCAAACAACATGCATCGAGAAATCAGTCTTAAACAATTAAAATTGATGATGATTAACTTAAGTAAAAACGTGATCATAATTAGATTGATGTTAATTGAAAAAACATTTTAAAAAATATTTAATATTTATATTAGTAAATGTACTCCATGGGCCAATCAATTAAAAATATTTAATAGATTGATTGGTCGAACAACATGCATCTAGAAATCAGTCTTAAACAATAATTAAGATTGATAATGATTAACTTAAGTAAAAACATAATCATTACATCGTAATTAGATAGGTGCTAATTGAAAAAGCATTTTAAGATCTTTAAATACATGTTGAAGATAATGAAATAACTTAGTCACGTTAATTACACATTTATTGTTGAGATTGACAAATCTTTCCCACACCAAAATGCCTTTTGCAAATAATTTTCGACCAAGAGCAAAATAAAAAATGAGGACCGAACAAATACAAAACTTAAAAAAGTCTTATAATTTCAATCCCACAGATCGAAAATATAAATAATAAGTACATTCTATATAACGCCGGATTTTAGTTTAAAGTGAACAATCACAATTCAAATGATATTCAATTTTAGCAAGATGTAGTTACTTAACATATGGTTTTAGTCAAGAGAGATTGGAGTCTAAAAGTTACTTGGGTTGTTTTTACAATAATAGTTTACATAATAAAACTTGATTTGTTGATAAAGAATTAAGTATAGTGTTAATTAATTAAGAGAAAACCAGTATAACACTTCTTATGTACCTGCCGCTCGCTGTTATGATTAATGATGGAAATAGTTTGTAGCAAACAAAGCTACCTAGCAGCTTCTTCTTCTTCGTATTTCGACTCAATCAAATGTTTGCACAATTATTACATATGATGCCTGCAGTCCAAAGATAGGAACATGTCCACTGTATATGAAATTAAATTCACCATACAGAGGAACAGGTCCACTGTATATTTTTAATAGATATGAGAGTAATACCAAAAACATGCTAAAGCTTGGGCATTCTTCAATAACCCTGTTAATGAAGGACAGGTTTGCATGTGTCTCAATGCTCATAGAAGAAAAGAAATAAAGTTAGTTTTAATGAGCCAAATAAGAATCTATAGTTGTACATTTCACATTAATTTCATAAAATGATCAGAGCAATACCAAACTTATTTTTTCAGTTAATTTATCATATCATTCATTATCATATTAATCATTTATATTTAGTTTCATGAAATAATACCCCTTACAAAAGAAATTTATCAAAATTTTAAATTAATTAAAAAAAATTAAATATATGATATATAAATAAATATAAATCTTCCCTTACAGAGATATTATAAGATTAAACTTAAAGTCTTTCTCTTGAAATTTCAAATTATGTAAGGATTTTTCATCTTGCTAAGTTTGTTTGCTTATTCTGAATACATCATAAATGATCTCTTTGTTGTTCATAAAAATCAGGTTTACAGCTGTTATCAGTTCAATTATAATTACTCTAATCATCTTAATCATATTCATTTACTTCTCCATAAAGATTTATATAACTATTTCTATTTTAAAATTATATAACAAATATAATCACAAATGCTCTATTTCATTCAAAACTTATCTCTAAGTTTAAATATATTTCTAAAAATAAATGTATCCTTATCTTCAATGTTTTATGTGTTGAGAATTTGTCTAAAAGAGGGTAACAATTTGTATTTAATGGTTTTCAAGAAAGAAAAATATTTTTTTTATTTGTGTTAGAAATAAAAATGTAATATCTTTTCATGTGATGATTTACTCTTATAATTAGAAAGTGGATTTAAAGCTTAACTAATCCTCACGAAACTGGCAATAAGGTTTGTACAGATTTGCACTTCACTTGTATATTATAATATGATTTTATCTAGTTAACGTGAGACTTCCAACACTTATTTTAATTTGCAAAGATTTATTATGATCACTTTTATTGGAAAGAACAGGTTTGCAAAGATGGATTAACATAATCCATCCATTGGTGTATCATGCCTTAAGGAAGGAGATATGAAAGTATTATGGTGATACATTTTCAGTGTTCTGATCCTTCTCTCAGTTAATTAATAATAAATAATAAATATTATTAATAATAATAATTAATAGTAATAATATATTACTTTTAACTATAGGAGTAAAATAATAATATTATATTTTCCATTAAAACTTTTTTTATTTATTACATTAGTTAAATCATTCACACATTTTTACAATTTTCATCTCCAAATCCATTTATTTCATCTTCAAATCTTTTAAAAGAAACAACACAACTTCATCCAAATTCACTTAAAGTCATTCGCTTATATTTTTCTTTAAATTATTTCAGTTAAGTGAACAAACCCTTAATCTAAGAATGAAATCATATATTAGCATTTGAAAACCCAGTTTAAATAAAAAGAGATTACAGTGTACGGAATCTTCATGAAAAACGTATTAAAGGAATATAATGAAGATAATGATAAGTAAAGTTCTAGTGACGAAATTCATAATATTTGACTTAATACTGGAATTGTTTTTAATGTTGAATAATAATAAAATGAACCAAAAAAGCATTCCAAAAGTTTTATGAACTTCAAAGAATGTCAAAAAAAGAATTATATCATAGTTGGAAAATCTTCTCTATCATCAAAATGAATCCTTGCCATACTTTATTAAGATAAACATTTCTACAAGACAACGGAGCTTTTACCTCTTATTTGAATGGTCCAAAAGTTATTTGTAAATTTAGGTATTATTACAAAAAAGTACAATTATATGAATACCTTATAGAGATGATTATTTGAAACCCAAGATCTTTTCCGAATATATTAATGAGTCAAATCCGCATTCGTTTACTTGGGGTACCCTCTTGGTAATCATCCTGCATATAAATAAACAAAGGAATGAACATGCATATTCATCAAGTGTACTGAAAAGAGAATATGTTACTAGTAGCATTCTAAAATATACCTCTGGAAGATGTTTGGAGAGAGGCATTTTAAGATCTGATCTGCATTTAGCATGAATTATGGGACCTAACTGTGACCTCTCCATGCTTGTTGCTAATTTTTCTGTGGGTTGATACAGGTACGCAGCTCCTCTATACATCCACTCCTCCATTTCATCACTGTAAAACTCCTCAAAAGCCTCTTCACACAATGCACATCTTTTCTGCTCCTCTTCTGCTACCACCGCCAACTCTTGTTCATCTTTCGTTTCTTCTTTTCTTTCTGTCGGAAAAAAAGCTGCTACTGACTTCGTTCCCACTGCCTCTGCACCACTAAGCCACATCCTCTCCCTCACAAACCATTCACGACAGATTCTCTGCTTCCGATTCTTGGTCACATGCCAATCCATGTGACTTCTGTGTTCCTCTTGGCTTCTGAATCTCAGCCCACAACTTCTGCATTGTCTAGGGAGATCACCATACAAGCCATTAATTACAGACTCATGCCGAACCTTCAGAATGTCTGCTTTAAACTCGGTTCCGATGGAATTCTGAAAAACAAATAATTAGTATTGAAATCTTGGATGGCACAATCAAATAAACAAAGGCAAGAAAAACGAAACGAAATTATGATAGATAAATATATTAGTATTTGGAAAAGCGACTGCGATGCACTCTATTTGACATACCTGTGGTGGCAGTAGTTTATCCGATGAGATGTCAGCATGAAAAATTTGATCAGTATCTGGTGGCTGTTTGCTTGACATAAACGGACCAACATTCGAATGAGGTATCATCATTTGAGATGAAGCAGGAGGGTGACCTGGATGAAAAGGGTAGTTTGCAATACTTGGAAGTGGTGAAGGGAATAGCACAGTAGGTAACGTATTCGACATGGTTGTACTTGTGGATGCACCAGATCTCTTCAAAAAATCCATCCCATGACCAAACTGTTTGGTTGATGGATCCTGAGATGGAAAAAACTTGGGCTGTGGTGCTTTCCAGTGATTTTTCTGGTTGGAAGAAACTTGGCCAGGAAGTTTCTCAGGAAACTGATGCATATGTGTAGTATATGCATCCTTCTTCTCAAAGGCGCCACCTGACTGTGCTGGTACAATCATAGAGTTATTTACAGCATGCTTCATAGTAGGAGATCGAGTGACATTCTGATTTACAGAAGGCCTTGTTTCAGAAGCTGCAAGCACAAGTGATGGTGGAGGTTTCACATTAGAGGGAATGCCAGAAGCCATTATCGGCACTGCATGTCGAACCCCATTTGGGTTTTCATAACTTTTGGGAATGTGATTAATTGGAGTGTTCGTAAGAGTCCTTGATTGACCCATTCTACTAAAGATACGTTGAGACGAGTTATAGCGATGATGAGGAATCTTCATAGCATCATGAGATTGAGAGGAGACCAGGCTATGCTTCATCTGAATAAATCAAATTGCAGTTATTTTCAGAGGTATATATTTTAGCTTTCACATAAGCTATTTCGCAACATCATAAATCCTATATACTATAAAAATGCATAGCAGAAACAAAAAAAAGTGAGGAAACATACCGCCATAGCAGAGGAATCATGAAGTAGAGGAAGCTGAGATCCAGTAGACCAACCCTTGCTGGCATTTTGCTCTGACAAAGTTGCACTAGCTGCAACAACAGGTATTTCCCTGGAAAAAAAACCGGTTGAAGGTAATGTACTTTTATTCCTGCTATGGTCTACAATGGTTGACTTCAAATCTTTCCAGTCAAACTCCTCCTCTTCTGTATTCTGCCATGATTTTGACCACACTTTATTCTCTATACAGTTTCCATGCATCTGTTCAACTAGTAGTGGTTTACTGCTTGGACATTCTCGGCTTTCTTCTTTGCCATATGCATCAATTAAAGCTTTTAATATTTCAGGCTGATATCCATTACTAGGGCTGTAGGTGATAGAAGTTGAAAATTGATTACACTCAGAATACTGTATTTGTTGCCTTTCACTCATTTCCACTCTATAGTCAATTAACCTGCCACCACAATGTCAACTGTTATATTCTTTCATTAATGTACAAAGATCTAACTGAAGGGGAAGAGGAAACTCCAAACCTGCTACTGTCTGATAAAAGTTTGTGAGCCAAAGTTTGTATTGCTAGCACTTCCTGATGAATTTCACATACCAACAACCTGCGAGGATAAAAACAAATACTGTCACTATTCCACGTTGTTATCTTTTAGCAAGAAAGGGTTCCCAATTAAGTGTCGAATATTTTCTATTGAGTGCTAAATATTCCCAACAATCCCTTCCCAGATTTAACGGACTTCATCCCAGACATAAAATATGAATAGAGAAAACTTACCATAAACTGCTTTTCTTTTGTTTAACCATATATTTTCCGTCAGAAAGTCTGTTCTAAATGAGAGTTGTCTTTCACTTATATCTACTAAAAATTTTGCATCATCTAAATATAATATACAATATGAAAATATCTGTCTTCCAAAATTGTTTTCTTCAATACTCTTTGTTAAACCAGACTCTAAAAAGAATGAAAGGACAAGGCAGAGAAGGATTAAAAAGGAATAAGTTTTTCTCTCATAGTCCCATTTTGACAAATCAAAACTCATTGATGCCTCATACACCATTTCTAAACATAAAAAGAAACTAAGTCTTTGGTTAAAATAACGTTTTCCTACCTTCTTCTCCAATAGTTCCACATTGCTTAAAGATTTAAGAAATAGTTTAAATATTCCTTCTTCCTTCTCGATCCTAAGTCCGTGACATTATTAGATCAATCATCTAAAGTGAATTTTTTTTTTAACTACTTTAACTTTCGACTCTCCTAAATTATTGATAAAAACATCATTCACAAAGACACTGACGATAAAAAGATTTGATAAAAAGATCCCACCATAGAGAGAAAAAAGAAGACATTCATATTCATAACAAAAATTACTTCTGGTTTTCATGCAAACAATGAAAAGATCCGATAAAAAGATCCCACCATTGAGAAAAAAAAAAGACATTCATATTCATAACAAAAATTACTTCTGGTTTTTCATGTAAACAATAAAGAATTCCAGTAGTGAAAGAACTTGTATTGAAAAGAGAGATATTATACAGAAGCTTACACAATCCACAGTTGAGAGCTCCAACTTCCACAGCAAAAGTGTTTCTGAATTTTATTCACTGTTTCTGTTTAACTTGTATGTGCCAAATTGGTGGGAATATTAGATTTTCAATCCAAAGTAAATTTATCTATTCTGCTTTATCTTTTTCTATCATATATTTCTTTAACCACACCAAATCTTTTAAATTTGAAAATTTATGACTTTTTATCTTTTAGGATATGAAATATGAGAACAACGTTAAAGAGAATGATTAATCTTTAACAAATAAATTGGATTTGTTGAGATTTCGGAATTAATTATGTTTTAAAAAATAAATTTAGATTATTTTTTAATCTCTTTATTCATTTGAGAAAGTTCAATTTCATCTATTCATGTTTTAAAAAATCAATTATATTCTTCCTCAAAATTAAAAATATAAGATTAGACGATAGGAAATAATATTGATACACTTACATTTGTTGCACTTTAAAACTCTCATTAAAAAAGATGGTGATATTTTATGTCTACTAAATAAAATATATTCAGTTGATAACCTAAAATAATAATATTTTTATATTTATTTTATCTTTTGATTTAAAATTTTAAGCTATATTATTATATTGTAATATTGAGATATAAGGTAGGTATATTTTTATAGAGGTGTCAAAAGTATTATTTTCTTAAATAAAACTTTAACACACTTTCCGTAATGTAGCGAAATAATCCCACGACTATTTCTGGTAATGTAAATGTTATTGGCTTGGACGAGATATTAGTTTTTAAATCATAGATAGATGTCTAACCTCTTAAATATTTTAAACTATAATTACAAATTTGAGAACGATGTTAAAGATATTGCTTAAATCTTTAACAAAGTAAATAATTTAGTTAGCATTGTGAAATAAATTATCATATTTATAAAAAAATAATTCCTTTATTTATTATTTATAATTTTTTAACTGTCTAACCTCTTAAATTTTTAAATTATTGAATTTTAATATTTTATAATCACATATTTGAGAATGATCTTATAAAAATATTGATTTAATCTTTAATAAACTAAATTATTTAGTTAGGATTGTGAAATAAATTATCATATTTATAAAAAATAATTCCTTTATTTATTATTTATAATTTTTTAACTGTCTAACCTCTTAAATTTTTTAATTATTGAATTTTAATATTTTATAATCACATATTTGAGAATGATCTTATAAAAATATTGATTTAATCTTTAATAAACTAAATTATTTAGTTAGGATTGTGAAATCAATTATCATTTTTAAAAAAATATTTTTAATTCCTGTATTTATTACTTATATTGTTTTAAGTGCTAACCTATTAAATTTTTTTAATTATTGAATTTTAATATTTTATAATTACAAATTTGAGAATGATTTTTAAAATATTGATTTAATCTTTAACAAACTAAATTATTTAGTATGTGTATCGTATGGTCCAACAATCTCACCATAAAAGAAAAACGGCCAACCATGTATGAGTAGAGGCCGAACGGACGGTCTTGATAGCCAAATACTTCTTGAGAGACATTACAAACTAAGATTAATGGTAAGTATTAATTAATGTGTAATGGGTCGAGATTAAACCATGATTAAGGTTTCACTAATCTTATATTCATCCCAAAAACTATAAATAGATGTCAAAGGTAAAAGGTAGGTGATAACATTTATTGTAAATTTAAGACTTTGCTCTGACTCCAGTCAGATTAATTACTGAATTAAACATCAAAATACTTTTGTCAAATACAGATTGATTTGGAAAGTTGACGAAGAAAGACTTGGAACTCCTACAACTAAGAAGTAGAAGTGTAAATGTATGTTTTGTGGAGTTGTTCGACCTTACATGTAAAACAGTCAAGATTGTGAAATTAATTATCATTTTTATAAAAAATAATTCTAATTCCTTTATTTATTTATTTATTATTATACTGTTTTAAATGTTACATTTGGTCTTAAAAAGTCAATGTTATTTTTATTCTTGTTAAAGAAGTTATATTGAAAAAATGTATTGTGATATTGACATATTCACACCATCCCTGATTTATACTGTGATGTTAATCGTATAACTACCTCTCTTTTTCGTAATTTTTTTATTTTTTAAATTTAAATAAACTAATATTTTATTTTATTTTTTCATGCCAGTATTGTCACTGGTAGTTCTAATAATTATATTCTGACAGCTTAAATATAAATTGTATTATTTGATTTAGAAAATTACGATGAATTTACATAAATTAAAAAGTTGGGTATAAAATGAAATTGGTTCCGAAGAAAAAATGAAGAATTGAAAAGTTTCAAATATTGCTTCAAAGAAGAAATGTTTCAAATATTGAACGTGTAATTCAATAAAAAAATATATGAAAAGCGCATATTAATTGAAATAAATTAACTGGGTTTAGGGAAGCCGAAGTAATGGTAAAATTGGATGTGTATAGTTTTTAATGGACACAACTAGCCTTCTGTTTCTGTTTATATGGTGTTTGGTTAGGAGGAATTTTTAAGGCTTCAAGCAGTAACACCTTTTATTTGTAATGTTTTTCAATTTTTTTTTCTAAAACATCCTAAGTATTTTAGTGGATTTTGAATTTCAATTTTTTTTTATCTGTCATACTAATAACATTAATTAGATACTAATATTTTTAAAAATTGAGTAAAGTTTTATCAATATCACCCTAATATAAGAAACCATAAAAATTGAGTAAAAGTTAATATTAAGATCAGTTAAATTTCGTTAACTAGGTAATCCGTGGCAACTAGAGTCGTTGATGTCTCCATTTTCAGTTGCACCTTACAAGGAGACTCATTAATGTCATCTTATTTTTATGACATGACATTATGAAAATTTTAATTAATAAGTTTTATTGCATATTAAAAAACTATGGTTTATATTTTGCCAACGGTAATACTTGATGACTAAAATCTTTGACGTCTCCGTTCTTTATTGAACCTTGCAAGGGATCTCATGGATTAATGTCGTGTCATCTAAGACGTGACATTATGAAAATTATAATATCGTTGATGAAATTATATGGATACATTGACGAAATTACATTAAGAATTTGACAGAATCATATGAAGTTTTGTTCCCTGACAGGAAGAAACCAAAAGGAAAGAAAGGGTATACCTTGTTGGTAGCATAACAGTCTGGAAGAATACCTCGAAGACTTGTCTCATTTATGCACTAGTTTGAAAAAATACAAACAGTTGGTGGACATAGTTGGTACGCTATCTCAGTTACCGGACAAATTGTATCAAGTCATTATAACGAAACTAATACCATGTCGCCGCATACGCTGTCTTCCCAAAAATAACAATGTACTACTAACATTAGTTTTTGATTTGGGGATGAAATACTCCAAGTTAATATGTAAACCTTTGGCTGCAACAAAATATGCAACTTACTAATCCAACTATACATGTACATGACTTTGGCAGAATGGCCACGGTATTGCAACATTCAACTCTACTCTAACATACACTAACGGAAAATCATAAATTACAAAAAGCAAAAAATTAAGGTCAAGTTTAGTCAACTACGCCTTCGCTTCCTTTGGGTACCCTCTTCATCACCACCCTGCGTAAACCGAAAATAATAAAAAGAAAGTTAATACTGAAGATTCCTTGAAGCATATGCAAACATGCAAATTACATCCAAACAAGCAGACGAGGAATATTTAATTCAAACAAAGAAACAGGTTCAAAATAACACAAGGAAAAAATCATATACAAAACACAAATCCCTTAAATAGAAAAAACTGACTTAAAGTATATACGAAATAGTTTATTTTACACTACTCATTGTAGAACTCCTGACATAATCTCCTGACAAAAATAACAACAGAGGCAGATGCAGAACATACAATTGATATGGAAAAACAAA